AGCCTCCTTCAAATTACTATTATATGAGTGGCTAAGTACTTTTTGGAATTCACTAGTCATATATCCAGAAGTGATACAATTGCCTTTTTCAAAGGGACATTCCGTTATTTTCAGAAACATTGACATTGGACTAAATTTCCTCCCACGGAAAGAGGTTGCCATGCCAAAATTCGATATAACAGGAGCTCAACTGATTTTTGACGTAGCCAAAGTTGCGCAAAACTTGCTAAACTTTGCTGCCAATTTTCTCGAAAAGTTGCACAGGTTGGTCGGGCCACAACTTCGTTTAACTGCAATGTGGAAACAGATTTTTATAAAATTTAACATTTTTCAGTTTGTTAACATGGAAAGACGTTCACGTTACTTTTGTGTTTTATTGTTTAGTTATTTATTGGTTGGCCTTGTCAATGATATTTAACACTGGAACATGTTTGGGAATGTGTGGTAAGTGCAGAGCTGGACTTTTAGGAATCCCAGTTTTGATTCCTTATACCTTAATGTCATTACAGAAGCATTCGTTATGAAGATTTTCTCCTTCACGTTTCTTTTTTCGAAATTTCCCTCAAAATTTAGAAAATGACCGACACAATCATTTCACAATTTTTTTAAAGAAGTTTGATTAATTTTTTAGAAATGCATAAAAGTCGATCGTATTAAAGATTGGTATTTGTTTTTTCACAAGTCTTCGCCAGAAGGTTATCATTCAAGATCTTCTCCAAGCAAATCTCCTTCTAAAAACGGTTGAACTTATTTTTTCGTCCAAACGGTTCAAAACATTACTCTCTTCAGAACAGCTGAGAGTTTACAAACATGAACACACTAGCTTTGCTTGCTTTTTTTTTCTCTTTTCTTTCAACTACCTTGTCAAATTTAAAATAATTTCTAACCCTATACTTACACTTTGCTTTCGTTTCCAGTACGGTTCGAACTTTCCCTGACTTCAGGTCTCACTCTTGGAGTCCGCATCTTCATCACTACCTATCTCTTCCATCGCTTTCCTCGGCTGAGAAAAAGATTGGATACTTACGGTTGGTTTTATCACAATCTCCCTGTGAAAGCGGCACGTAACGGCCCCGCAACGGTTTCCACAGCCCCTGACGGATTGTCCCTTCTAGCAAATAAAACGGTAAGTTTAGATCTTTCATTTGATTGTGTTTGGTCGCAGTTCGACATTTCCAGAACTCTCCTTTACGTCGGCGTCCTGTCAATGCGAATGGGCTATTTACTTCACGACTAGGGTCAAACTTCAACTTACTGGAGACTGGTTCACAACACAACCTTACGCAGAACAACGGATCAGCGCTTGGGGTACATAATCTCGTTAAAAAATGGTCAGCACCGAATCTGCGAGCAACTTGTAAGGTAAGATACATTGTTGTACACTGTGTACCGTCGAAACACGAAATTCTTTATACTAACAGCTGTTTCCAGGATTCCACGGATTGCTTGAATGATCAGTCCAGCCCAATTCCTCATCTTGGAGACGAATGCACTACGAAGATGACCGCGGACAGCTTTGACTCACTGATTCTTCCCATACCTCCACGTTCCACTCGTGCTGGCATATCGCCACTAGCTCTTGTAACGAATAGCCCAGCACCACCACAAGATCCTCCGCCAAGTGAGAGGACTTCGCTGTTGGAAGAGGAGATTATGACAGAATCATCATCGCGACTCTCCTTCTACTCAAACGTCGAGGACGAGTCCGTGCTAGAAGACCCCATGATAGAGAATGTACTAGCCTGTAAGTTTCTGAGAAATTTAAAATTTTTTGTAGAACTGTTTCAATTCACTAAAATTTTGTTTTTCAAAAAAGTTTAACTAAACTCAAACAAAAAATGTTTAACAGACTGACGTATTATGCATAAAAGCATTATCATCTCAATAAGAATCATTGACCTTGACGTAAAAGCATTGTAATTAGCGTACAGACATAACTCATACAACGCCCTTAAAACAAAACAAAAAAATGTAGAGATGTTTTGAATACCTATTTAGCCGGGCCTAACGTCGCACAAAGTAAGTTAAGCGTGGACTGCGCGGGGCAAGGCGACAATGTATAAAGTTGGCCATCAGAGTATGACTAGTTTCCTCAGTATAGTAGCGTACATATCGTTGAAAGGCTGCAAAGAGAACAACACAACCCCCTTGTCACAGTTCCGTTTTAAGATAAATGTTGAAGCTCCAATTTGTCTCAAGAAAAACCGTCTTAAAGTGATTTTTTTAATGGTTTTGATGTAAAGGCAAACCCAAGTATCTCAATTATGGGATGGGAAATGATAAATGATAAGGATGAGATGGGAAAGCCAAATGAAAATGCAGCTGAGGATTTGGATGCCTATTAGCTTGCATCTAATAGACAACATATTGGAAACTATATGTAGAAAAGAAAAGGAATATAATGAAAGCGAGACGGAATCGGCTTTATATACGGTGATGCAGTCTTATGCGAAGGAGATCTTCTACAAAGGTAAAAAGGGTAAAAAAGCGTGCACTACTGCAAATTTACAGGCAAGATCAACCCAATGC